ACTTAAGCCAATTAATACTCGTGAACAATCGCGTGCCGTATATGTACCTAAAGACCTAAGCAATTGCACGCACGTCTGGATAAGATGTGACAAAATAAAAGCACCACTTAGCCCTCCATTTGAAGGTCCTTTCAAAGTCGTCTCAAGAAAATCTAAATATTTCGTGATAGAAAAACATGGAAACATCGACACAGTAAGTATTGATAGGCTAAAGCCGGCTTATCTAGATCATGAACCACCATACGTGTTGTTAGATCGTTTAACTGACAAATCCATTACGGAATCGAAATGCAAAAACGATAAATCTTTACAAATGACTAAAACGGTTCGCTGGGCACATCCGATTAGCCAATCAAGGATGTTGACAGTTTCAGCTGCAGGATAAAATCTAACCACGTAGCTAATCAGACCCTTCATCTACTTAAAAATAACTTTTCTCCTCATTCCGCCTCACCTACAACTCCCCAGACCTTTTGCCTTTGATATATAAGTGTTATGTTAAATTTTTTTTAAATACTGGACACATAAGCTAGGTATTCCGAAACGATGGCTGCGGATTTTAATCAAACTCATACAACTAACACTGGCAAATACAACGAATTCAAAAAGCAACCCAGAATACCAATCCGTTCTGGAGACCAAGCACTTACATGGAACCGAACAATTATCAATTACATTTATGTATTTCCATTTTGTATCTTATTATTTTATGCAGGCAGTGGAGCAGTTCTTCAGGTTTGCTTGATTTTCACCATCACCTTTGAAGTAGATTCTTCTTTACTTTTTACTTGAGGGCGACTCAAAAGGCAGGTGAGTAAACACCTGATAGCCGGTCTGAGCACGGAAAAATCGTACCTCATCAACATGGTGTTGGGTAGCCCGCTCGCGGCACTTCCTCAGATATTCTTATTCCACATTCTCAAACTTTCTCTTGAAAGCACGCAGCAAACCATCGGCGATAGTTGTAGAAGAAATCACATGCTACAAAATAAAATGACAAGCTAGTAAATGAAGAGACATCCATGGACTATCGTTGACAGCGTCAGTCGTCACTGATTGTAAATCAAACAGTGAGCGAGTTGATAATTTTCCCTTGGGATGAGAAATAGAACTAAGGCGTTTTCGATAGTTAGGTTAATCGAACCGACGTTCCTAAGGAAGTCGATTCTAGGGGGAAGCTAATGTAACAGCTAAGGTTGGTTGGTTCAGAGTTGACCCCAAACAACCAAGCTTATGCCAAAACAGTATTGTTCAAGTATTCATTCACTTCCTTGTTTTGTATAAGCGTTATATTCCCTATTATCTTATATTGAATGTTGAGAGCCTTTGTTTGTCTGAACAGATAATCCCATGCTCCACTGTCACCGCGCGAAGATCGAAATAAAGACCTATTCACTACTTCTCTGGTTTCTTCTATCAATAGCACGAGGGTTACCTTAAGGCACGAAAGGACCTCTCCTACCATTGTTCCAAGCATGATGTAATAAACCTATCGCAACCACTTTAAAACATCTTCATGTCTACCGAACGAGGAGTAAATACATTTTAAATACAATCACCATGACAATGTTAATCTTGTTAAATCGATCGGCAGAGAGTACAAAGACCCTTTCAACCCAGGGATAATTTCCGGGCAAAAAATTTCATCGATCAGATGAATACAAAGATAGAGGTCAGTTTTTTTTAAAAACGACAAAAGTTTCTAGGAATTAGGGCATCAACTATTTATCTCACCAGTGTTAGACACACACTATTAAATCCACCGACGACATACTAGCTGTCACAATTCAAAACCAGAACGAAATAATCGTGAAAACCCTAACAACATCAAAGAGTTCACCACGCTTCACAAAATGCAAATAATAAAACAGTAATTGCAAATAAAGTAAAACGGAAACAAAATATGCGTTGATACAGTCAATAACAGAAGAGATGAGATATGCAAAAAAACATTGGAATAATAATAGGGAAAGATATACACAGTGAAATTTTTCAGTTGTGATTACAACGACATGCAAATAGATCCTATATAATGTATCTATTCACTGCTCATATTTACATTTGGCGTAATATAAAACCTTAAATAATGAATAAATAATGAAGACATAAGATCAGTAGGATATCCTAAAGGATCTAGATACTGTTTGGTGTTAGAGTGTTCATCTACGCCTCTGGAATAATAGATCTAATACTATAGGCTTGCATAATATGACTACCCAACTTACATAACCTTACGACAAAGTCACGTCATTCCTCATAAGGACTCTCCCTGTCATGACAATCAGCCGTATTGTTTGTAAGAACCTTTAAAAGGTACATTCTTAATGACAATGTAATGATATATTTATCGTAACAGGAATAAGTTTGCAAAACTAGGAAAACAACACTGCTCTTCAGCCAAATCATTTATAGGCATGTCATTGAATGCCGAGCAGTTTACCGATCGTCACTAAAGTCAAAGACAACAAACGCGTATCAACCAGTTTCATTCTATGGACGGGCCCAAGCCGAAGTCGTCGCGCTCAATTTACTCTACTCATTCTTTCTAATACATTTCGATAATAGAAATTATTTTCGTTTTATGAGGTTATAAAATTCGGCACAGTACCCACCACCATACATCCCATACCAAATGAAAATCGTTGAAAGGAAATGAAACACACTATATGGATTTTATTTTCCTTTCGCAATGCATTTTTGAAATGGGTCTTCGAATTGCACTTTGAAGCTCATGGGTTCTCCCATCGGACAAGAGAAAGCGATTTCAAACAGCAATGTGGTGTCACAAAGTGAAGCGCTAAACTCTTATCTGACACTTGTTGAGCTTGGCCATATTGAAGTAAACTGAATGAGGTGAGGCTGTCACACATAAGTAACTGTTAGGTAGATTTCAAAGTATTTTGATGTGATCTAAAATAATTTGTTTTTCAGAACAGGGCGGCATGGATTTTCCGAGAATGGATTTCCCGATTAGAGATAACTATATGAAGTTCCGAATTACTAGACTAGGAAAGCAGATATAGAAAGAATAAGCACATTAGTAGTTTGCCAGATATTCACCGACCAATTAGATGGGCTTAATAAACAGCACACTGTATCTTTCTTAAACGCTTTTAATAAAAGATGTGTAGAATTCCTTCAACTCTCATTTTGCATAGATGATGATATATATAAAAATTTTTCTAAAACCCAAAAATTAGATATTTCATAAATCACAAATACAAAGCATTAAGAGCGTTAAGAAGGACATATTGTCCAAATAATTCTGTCTGAATTCTCTAGGGTTATTGCTTGTTTCAAGCTCAGGTGAAGGAGTAAATCGTAATGTCGGGTCAGATACCATACCGAGGGTAACTCTATCGCAAAAATATTAACGAAAAAGATAATCTAATTCACTTATACTTTAACCTGAGGGCTGAAGATTCTTCATTTAGAAGGGTTATGAATTCTCAGTGAAAGCCAAGGTTTTCCGAAATTCATGAGGTCAGTGACCCTTATGACAACTAGAACTACAACTATTACAATCACGTGGAGTGTCCGAACGATTCAGGAAACCAGGATGGTCATTCGAATAGGGTGAAAAATGAAAACATACGACATGATCATTTTCGAGGTAAGTGAAACTTATTAGTTATTCACTGGCTAAAAAGAAAACCTTTCGGATATTGAAGAAGCCACAGGTATTCGGAGTTTGACAACGCTTTAACCAGTAACACCTAATATGAATCGTACTCACCAAGTGAAATCAAAAGGCAGAAACGAGGAGGTTCGAATATATATTCTGTAGGTTATCACTATATCGAGGACCGTCTGATCTAATCTGGCTAGCGATTGCAGGGGTTGTTGAGCACGGCGTTCCCACTCGGGATCTGGTGCGGATCATGACCGAGCGCCTTCAGCTAGGTGAGTCCATTAAAACTGATGCGGCCAGCATCCAATGTCGAAAACTTACAGAGCTATTCATTTTGGGGATTTATTTACCGCTACAGATCAATACCCTCCTAGTGGAATATTGACGACCCTAAGACGTGGCCAGCCAGTTTAAACCCAACGATTTTGTCGTTGGTAAACACACTTCTCATAGCTTGCTAGGTTTAGCAGCGTCTGGTCGTCTTTCCTTACTATAAGGGACCATATATACAATATAGTAAAAAAAGAGAAAAAGTTCAATGGAAATTTCGGTTCTTCGTAAACTTCGTCGTTCTTTTTATCGTCTTTATTAGCCATCCTGATAAAGAAAAAAATATGTAAGTTCATGTCAAAATACACTCGTATGCGCGTAAAAACACAAAGCGGGCGAAAAAATTAAAAAAAACTCATGCACACATAATAGCGTAAAAAAGGATTTTTATTATAGCATCGATAGCCTCAAAGCAGCGTATTTAAGAGGAAATCCTATCCACGTCGATTTTCCTTCGGTACAATCGCACGTCACAACTCCTACACTTATAATACCTCAACTGACAGCCAACACACATGATGATACTTTGGCAGTATCAGAAAATAAACTGGAAGAAGAGTTAGATTCCCAGAACATTCGAACGGTCACTTTAGTTCTATAGATATTAAGTTGGATCATTGCAAGTTGTGTTCCTTAGTGTCATATATTATTAAGTTGTTTTGCCCTTCAATTTCTTAAGGGAATGTAACAAGAGTCTTACGTTTCTGTGACCAAGAGCACACCTAATCTACCCAGGCACGGGACCTAAGGAACAAATAATTAACTAAACCTGCCAAGAAAAGTTACGTTGAACATTCTAAATATAGTCAATATTTCAACTAGACGGTTCAAAATAAATCCTGAAAAGATTGGCCTGGTTATTCTAGAAAAAGAAGTGTGTTTGCACAATTTATTCAATTTTTTATTGTCACTTGAGTTTGACTATTTTGTGGGAATATTTGACATGACTAGGTCATTTAAGTAGTTATTTTTGAATAAGTCGCACGGTGAATCTGAGTTTCCATCTTTCTAGTGAACGTTATTAACATATGACTCCTTGATGTCGTCTAAGGTTAAAGTTTTTACTCTTGAAGATGTCAGAAAACACAATAAGCCAGATGATCTTTGGATTGTGATTCACGATAAAGTATACGATTTGACAAAGTTCGCGTCTGAGGTAAGACTACATACAATTACATGTTGCAACAGCAACTACGATAGTAGGACATATAACTCAAGTCTAAGTTTTACCATACTTACGTTGATAGAAATCTGCTATTCTTTAAGTTGAATGTAGAACATTCTCCATCTCCGGATTTAGATTCAGATTCAGATTTGTGTAGTAAGGACAGAAGGCCTACGGCCTGTGTTATTCCTTTTCTAGTATGCTTCTGTGAGTGCCCAGTCTTCTCTTGAAAGAGTCAATTGAAGGTGCGGATACCACTGCTTCAGGCAGCAGGTTCCAAGTATTGATGACTCGGTGTGAAAACCTGTATGCCACGGGTATTTTGTTCGTTCTTGGCTTTCCTACTCGCCTGCTATGTCCTCTGAGGTGTCCCGATCTAGTGGGAAGGAAGAGAGAGAATAAGTCAGGTCCGAAATCATTTCTTAATATTCTGTACATCAATATTAGATCTCCCCTTAGTCTGCGATAGGACCGAGTAAAGAGGTTCAGTTTTTCAAGCCGCTCTTTATATGATAAACCCCGGAGTTCCGGAATTGCACGCGTAGCTGCCCTCTGTACCTTTTCTAGTATGTCTGAGTCACCTTTTAAACAGGGGCTTGCAGCCTGAACACAGTTCTCTAACTTAGTTCTCACTAAGGATGTGTATAATGTGGTGAACATGGTAGTATCAAGCTTAGTGAATGTCCTTTTTAAAGCCCAGAGGGTTCGAAACCCCTTAACTGCGACCTCCCGGCAATGGGCCGTCGTCTTAAGATCATTGCTCACTGTCACCCCTAGGTCCTCATGAGACCGGACTACGGGTAATGACACATCCCCTATGTTGTACGTATTAACCTTTGAATCCCCCAAGTGCATGTAGACACACTTTTCCGAGTTGATAGGCATTAGCCACTCTTTAGACCAGTTTATCATATTATTTAAGTCCGCCTGAAGAGTAAATGCGTCTTTGTCTCCAGTTATAACTCGCCAAATTTTTACATCGTCAGCGTATAATAACATTGGAGACTGTACTATACTTGTAAGATCATTAACGTACATTATAAAAAGTAAAGGACCTAAGACGGAACCTTGGGGTACTCCACTAAGTACCGGGGACAGTTTGGGTTTTTCCCGGAAGTCATGTTAAGATTCGTAGTTTAGAAAAAGCCGGAAATCCCCCCTAGAAGTTTTGGGGATTGTCCCTAAATAACTTTAAATTTTATGGAGAAACCCCAGACTAGGGGAACTTTTGGGTTTTTTGTCTCATTTTCCCAAACCTTCCTCACAATCGGGAGACTGGATTGAAATATGAAGGGTAAGTTCTTATGTATCTCAGTATCTTTAGTTTCTCAAGCTGGCTCTAGAAACCACATGTCGAAATATGGATATTTTTCCTCCGCATAACGATAACAAATAAAGGTGATACTTTTGATCGACCTCAAGTGACTTTGATAATGTCCACCTACTTACTATGGTTAAATGAGAGCTTTAAATTAGTATGAGAAATTAAAGTTTGCAGCTAAGAATTTGGTTTGTGTTTGTTTAAGAATCCCATCCTAGTTTATATATTGGACCGCGGGTTAACTACATTATCTATGTGAAATCTGATAATAACAGTTTCAGTTGGATTTAAACCAATTTCTTGGTGATATAGTATAGTACCTAATTCACTGGAAAAGCTACTTCATTACAACAGTCCACTCATTTATTTTAGTTGTCGATATGTTACATTTCCAAACATCCTTCCTGTGTTATTGTACTGGTGTAAAACTTCAAAATGCTACACATTTGTAGGTCAGCAGTACTCGATTACAAGTATCTACAAAGCATTGCCAACGTATTACGCAACCACTGACTTGACAGTGTAGGTTAGCGCATATTACTAGTTTACTATCGTAGCAGACTGGAAAGGTTGTTAACTTTCAACGGAAGTTGGTTGAGGTATATCCTACGCATTAAGCTACTGCTTTCCCCAGTATCTTACATCGATTGTGCAGTTTGTATGGACCTTAAAGCAACTAACTGCGGTGTCAGTTAATGAAGTCATTAAATGTTAACCCAAATTGTAGTGCGCACTTCTCGATTGGGGTTAACGAGATAACTATTATGTATAGCTGGATACTTGATGTAGCACTTTTCATGACTACAGCTAAAAGACTTCAGTTAAGGAACTCCACATCAGTTTTATGAAAAATGTACTCGAAAGCTACAACTGGATCGCCGCTGGCTTTTATTCTGAGGTATAATTAATACCATATCAAACTGTTAAGGCAAACGGTTTCTAGTACCCCAATCAGGGAGTCACAATAGAACAACAGGTGCTAATCTTATGCGGCTGTCTTTCGTACCGCGACACTGTCATAAACTGATCAACTACTTTTTACTCAGTCCCAGCATCTCAAATAATGCGTGATGTAGAGGTAGCTGAGGTAGGAATTCGTAGGAATGTAAATTCATTTGCAATGATGATTGCGAATATCATTTGTATGATTGGTCAGACTCAACTATTCCTTAATATATATGTGTGTGGGTTAGTGTACTGCCTGAATTCACGGGCTAAAGCTATTGGTTTCTTTAAAGTGTCATTCCCCTAACCTTCGACCGAAGGTTAGTTATAGTAAGGTAGGTACACCCGTTTTTTAGCCTCCCCAAGCCCTCAATACAAGGTTATCCTGTGATTGAAACACCAGCTTCGGTGGCCTAAATATTCGTTACGAATGTCATCCCAGGGACTTTCACTTCGTGCACCAGTTATTGACTCTGGGACTAAGTGTAAAAATCAGAGAGCTGGACAGGTTATGACATAGCACTATTCTGTGAAGGATAGCTGTATGCGATTGGCATCTTCCAGTTCATACGAAATTCTGGCTAAAGTTTTAGTTATGGACCACCCAGCCATTTGAGACATGGCTCACAATAGAAACCAGTAAAGACCCACAGCTTTTTATATTTTTCGTAAAAGTGGGAGAAAATCTTGACTGACGACAGCCTTTCTGGTCATACTTCTTATCTGACTGTATGTCCTTTCATTTACTCTTCTCATCCACTTGTTTTGTCCATTTATTTTTGGTTGTTTTCCCCTACCATCATCGATCTCTTCACAGTTTGGTTTTTTAATTTTTTTGGCACCAAGTTGTCGTGTAAATAAAATAAGTTCTATGCTTCCCGTTTGTTTCCTTTAGTAACTTTTATCTTTAGCTATCCATTATCGTTTATGTTATTACTTTCAAGCATTCGGTCTTCCTTTTGATTGCTGTGTATGTTTATGTAATGCATATCAATATTAACCGATTAAAGCTTACGCCATTTCGTGCATTTATCTATCTAGCTATCTGTTTCTACAAAATGTATACTATATTTACATTTAGCATCCAGGGGGTGAAACTGTATTAGAACAACAAGCGGGAGATTATGGTACCGAACCATTTGAAGATGTAGGACACTCATCAGATGCTCGCGAAATTATGGAGCAGTACTATATAGGCGATATAGCACCCGTACGTTTGTTTTTGATTGTTTAATTTGTTTTTACTTTCAGGCCGACCGTGAACGAAAAAGTAAATTCACCTCTTCATTCACACTAAAGAAAGTAGATAATGTTAGGTAACATTTCTTCAAATTAATGATAATTTTTTCATGAATTTTGTTTTAATTGTATTCTGACTTATTATTAACCAGTAATTTTACCAAAATCTGCGGTCCTTCACAGATATATTCGAAATATAATACAACCTCTTATTTAAGAACGGATGTAACTGCTTATCATTGAATGTTTCATACCTTCAGATCCACTTTATCGGTCCACTCATCTTTTTAATTCTGGGAAATACAATTGCCACGCTAAAGATGAATTCGGCGTTATTTGTTTGGGGTGTGTTCTCAATATACATCTTAGCAAATACCTTTTAGTTGTTCTCAATATCTAGGACTTCAAAGGAACACAATTAAAAGTCAAATTAGCTCTGTTTAATTTGTGATCCCTCTGTTTTACTGGCGTTTAGATTTACTGTGACCACGCAACTTCATTCTCCGTACTTATTCTTACTCTTATTTGCGACTCTTAAGTCACACTACTTTTTCGAATGTTGCAATATGGCTGTAAAGTAAATATACATTTTAACACATTGATGTCATTCAGTTGTTTTCAATTTCATAGATTACTTTTTAACTAAGCACCAATGCTATCTGGGATTAAGTTATGATATACCGAGCAATTATTGTGGCTGATAACTAATCACATAACCGTTAGTAAGTTAAACATGTGAACTTGTATGGAAGTTGATCTATTTTAGTTGATGAGGTCATAAATCTGCTTCGATTTAAATAGTCAGACATATACTTTAAAATCTTACAGAAGTCAACTTAAGTGCTTATTGTATATACTACCGTTTAACAGCTTCTCCAAAATCATAAGTTATGATTTTCGAGTAAATGTAGTAATCGTCAAAATTATATTGTTATTCAAAATATAAAGTCCTCTTCAAATGATCTCTTGCTGTTGTAATTTTACAAGTTATATAGATAAAGATAGCACGTGCATTAAAATACTGGAAATTCCGTATATGGATTAATCACTGAATTCCTTAAATTTCTATTCCTAAAAATATAGAGATGATGGAATTTAATTGAATAATGACATAATCATTTACTTGCACTGGTATACCTTGCCATTTGATAATACCGTAGTAAAAGCGTAAGTCATTATCATAAAGCGTATCTTTCAAAAATTATCGGGCAATGTAGCTTTCACTAATTTCTCCAGTGTTGTCTCACTCAGTTGTTTCATAATACATTACAATTAATTGAATAATAGTCAGATTCGTAGAAAATAATAGTTCCAAAAGATAACTGTTGTATTCATACTTGATAAGTTTCTCTAGCTAAACATTTCACTGATTCTAGTATTTTTTATTCGATGCATGCCACGTTTCAGTTTCGGTATATTTCTATTACCCCGAATATTTTCTATCATGTTTTTCTAAAATAGTGACATTAACACTGTCTAAAACTATCTTGTGCATACTTAGAAGTTGCTCTCAAATTGTTATGTCGGTTCGAAATTGCTATTTATTTCTGAAGTATGTGGGGTTCCGTTCCTTAGGCTAATCTACATAAACGAATTTAACCGTCATGTTGCTATAAATATGTTGTCGTACGCATCTTTACTGAATTTTATGACGTAAGATTATCATGTTTCTAGGACTTGCACATCTATTCTTAATCGTAGAGGTACGGAAATGTTCCTATTTTTCTACCTGGATTGAATATATTACTCCCCCCTAATTATCAGATGGAGAGGTAAAAAAGACTTTTATTGACTTTTATTGGATACATGGTTGCCATATATTTTAAGCAGTATATGAGGCTTGGGTCCATATGAATAGCATGTGATTCTTCATGTACAAATCGAGTTCGTGCTGCTCCAGTTAAATAAAGTAAAAAACTTAATAGAAGTGTCAGTCAGTCAGTTAGCTACAACGTAGGACCAGGCACATATATGCATCGGTCCAAGTTGCCATACCTCATTAACACGACAAGACGGACACCGGATTCATAAAAGTAGTTAATTCATTTGTGATAATATATAAAAGAAAGATTGCAATAAGAATATCAGTCAGTCAGTAACAACATAGAACTTCGTACGTACGTACATCATTTCGAGTTGCCACGCCACATTAGCATAGAGATGCAGTGGTCGATTCAAATCCCGTAGTAGTAGAGGTAATAAGAGTATAAGCAGTAATCGGGAAGATTAGTGTTTGGAGATGTTACTTAAAGAGTATAATACAGTGAAATAAATTTGAGAAGAGAAAAAAAGAGACAAGGAGGAATAAGGAGATCAAAATTTGGGAGAACACAAAGAGTGTATGCACCTGCGCCATTGCAAACGATTTCCAGCCATGTCACTCAGGGTCTCTAACCATCGGTTGCTATAATCTCGCGGTCCCCAACCAGGTAGTCTACACCTACCAACATCACTCAGACCACTTGTCAGTGACTTCATGGACTTGTGCCATGTTTTGGTTTGGCCGCCCCTAGCTTTCTTCCAACCTACTCCTATACCACTGAACATCGCACGTCGAGGCAGTCGGTCGTTGGGCATACGTAACACGTGTCCCAGCCATCTCAACTGATGAAGTTTCACTACTTCATCAATTGATTTGCCATCCTTACCTAGTACCCGTTTCTTGACAACTGCATTACTTACTCGATGGTCCCAGGATATACGAGCAATATTTCGAAGACACCTATGATCAAATACTAGTAACCTACGAATATCCTCTACTCTTACCGGCCATGTTTCACTGCCATAAAGTAGAACGGAACGAACTGCTGCACAGTAAACCCGTTCTTTGGTTGATAGACGGATATCTCGCCTACACCATAAATGACGCAAGTTGGCAAAAGTAAGCTGGTCGAGCCTTTTGTATCCGTGCTGAAATTTCGTCACACACCAGACCACAAGGGCTGATGAGACTTCCAAGATAAGTGAAGCGATCGACACGATCAATTACTTCACTCCCTATCATTAGTTCGGGTGTCAATGCAACCCAATCCTGAAGCAACATTTTGCATTTCGAGGGGGAGAATAGGATCTCGAACATGCCTGCATTGTTGCTTAGAGTGGTCAGAAGACCGCATTTTGTCAGCGTCTTCGCCAAATAAAACTATGTCATCAGCATATTCTAAGTCAACAAGTGAACCTCCCGGTAGAAGTTCAACCCCTGGAAATTTAGATGAGAAGAGTGTTATCTCTAAAAGTACGTCGACCACAAAGTTGAACAAGAATGGGGAGAGTGGACAGCCCTGACGAATACCACTTGAGGTAATCAAGGCAATAAGGATATAGTACAGGAAGAAAGAATTAGTTCGTAGAAAGAAAGATATGAAGCAATTTTAATCTCTTAGTTTAAGGGAAGACAGAGTGTATATACCGACGCCATTGTGATCGATTCTGAGCCATGTCACCAAGAGTCTCCAACCATTGGTTACGATAGTCACGCGGACCCCAACCAAGTAGTCTGCATCTACTAACATGGCTCAGACTAGAAGTTAGTGACTTCAGGCACTGATGTCACTTTTTGGTTTGGCCGCCCCTAACTTTCTTCCAACCACCCCGAACACCGGTTAGCATTGCACGTCGTGGTAATCAATGTTCAGGCATACGTAACCCGTAGCCCAACCATTTCAGTCGATGAAGATTCACAACGTCATCGACTGATTTACCATCATTCCCTAATACCCTGCGTCTAACCTCACTATCACTTACCTGGTGTTCCGAGCAGACGCCAGCGACATTTCTAAGGCATCTGTGGTCAAATACTAGTAGCTTACAAGTGTCTTCTACTCTTAGTGGCCATGTTTCGCAGCCGTAAATTAAAACAGAACGAACTGCCGCGCAGTATACTCGTCCTTTTACTGATAGACGGATATCTCACCTTCGCCATAGGTGGCGTAAGTTGGCAAAAGCCAAACGAGCTTTTCGAATCCGTGCTGAGATTTCGTCAGACACCAACCCATTAGGGCTGATCAGACTTCCAAGATAAGTGAAGTTGTCAACGCGTTCGACTACTTCACTCCCTATCCTTAGTTCAGGTGTTGACCCAGACCAGTCCTGAAGCAGTAACTTGCATTTAGAGGGAGAGAAGCACATTCCAAACATTCTGGCATTGTTGCTTAGTACTACCAAAAGACTGCATTTTATCAGCGTCTTCACCAAACAGGACTATATCATCTGCGTATTCTAAGTCGATAAGTGGACCTCCTGGTAGATCAGTGCCCGAAAATTCAGTCGACGAGAGTATTATTTCCATCAATAGGTCTGTGATGAAGTTAAACAAAAATGGAGAAAGTGAACAGCCTTGATGGACACCACTTGAGGTTGCAAAAGCAGATGACAGTTCGCCATAAGCTCTGACTCGACTGGTAGTGTTCGAGTAAAGAGCCTTCACAAGGTTTATGTACTTCTGAGGTACACCTTTCAATGACACACTGCCACAGAATCTCGCGGTCTACCGAGTCAAATGCTGCTTTTAAGTCGAGAAATACCACCATTGTCGGACGCCGATAGGTATGCCTGTGTTCTAGAACCTGACGAATGGTGAATATGTGGTCGATGCAGTCACGACCAGGTTTGAAGCCAGCTTGATTCTTTCGTGTTTGCAGTTCACAAGTCTTAGTTAGGCGTCTGATAATTATCGAAGCTAGTATTTTAGATATTATATTAGTTAAACTAATCCCTCTGTGGTTGTCACAGGATGATTTTGACCCTTTCTTGTATATTGGGACGATAAGTGATTGCGACCAGTTAGATGGAATAACGTCTAACTCCCAGATCTTAGCTAAAATATTAGTCAACCTAATCGCTAAAATTGGACCACCATCCTTAAAGATCTCTGGAGCCAGTCCATCTGGATCAGCTGCTCTTCCTCGTTTCAGATTAACTATAGCCTTTTGAACTTCAGCAAGAGTTGGGGGACCTACTTCAATGTTCCATTCACACTGTCTGGGAATCGAGGGTAGTTGCAGAGTAGCCGAAGGCCGGCTGAACGTCTCCTTAAGGTGTTCCACCCATCGTTCTAAACGTCCTCTTTTTCCGAGATAGTCTCACTTACACTTGACTTAATTCCAGTTTCTTTTACTAGTCTGAAAAGCTGTTTTGTGTTACCGACAGCCGCCGCCTTTTCCATCTGTTTTACTTTCGTTGCCCACCACTGCTCACGGTCGTTCCTTAGACTTCTGCTTAACCTAGATCTGATTTGTTGTCGCTCCTCATCGTGTTCAGAGCGTGATGGGATGAGTTTACGAGAATCCATCAGTGCAATAGACCTTGAGGAAATCCATTGGTTTTTTGTAACCCTGTGGTTTAAATCACTGATCGATTTCACTGCTGTTTCCACAGCTGTTCGTGTATGTTTTCATGCAACATCTGGGTCAGCCTCGTTTTCAGAACTACCTAAGTGTGACCTCAGTTGTTCCTGGAACCTACTTTTGGTTTTCTCGTTACTCAATTCAGTCCTAATGGGTCTTTTTAGTGTGGTTTTTTTTGCGTCCAGTGTGGCGCAAGGAAATGCGTGCTCGTATTAGAGCATGACCACAGTCTAAACATATATTCTAGAACAAGCAACAGTCTTTTACCGACCCTCTCCAACGATGACTGGTGGCAATATGGTCTATTTGACCTGCTTCGGTTCGGGCGCCCGGGCAGTGTCACAGCCCACACACAAATGATGAACTCTTTATGTCTA